GGTATAAAAATTCACTCCCTATTACATGTGCTCACTTCCTTTCTTTACATCTTTCTCTCTTGCTCCCCTCTTCAATAAACTACAATCTTCTTTCTAAAGCAGTCGCCATGTTGTTTATTCCCAGCTTGGACTGAACCCTGATGAAGACTTTTGACCTTCCACACAGTCTTTCCAGTCCTGGCTCCATCGGTGATTGTGGACCAATGTTGCGGAATTACCATGAAACTATTCATCTTTTTTTTTAATGTGGATTATATCTCTTTTTTAATAAAGTTTTTTTATTTTCCATTTATTCGTACAAAATACAATTCAATTAAAATAAATTCCTAACCACTGGTACCGCCTGCCCATTCCCCCGAGCCACGTCCACCCTCTCTAATCCTTCCCTACTTCCCTCCTCTTTCTCTCCTCCCCTCCTACTCTCTTCCCCTCCCCTTCTCCTCTAACCATCCTACTTCCTCCCTGCTCCTTCCTCCCCTCTCATCCCTCTCACACACATGAACACAGCATAGGGGAAATGCCCAAGCATTTACCATGACTATATTATCATTACCCACCCACCCACTCACCCACCCACCTACCCTCAACCCCCCCCCTCACTTCCCAGAGCAGAGTACAGGGTTATTAATAAGAAAATTAACAATAATAAAAAAAGGAAAAGAAGAAAGAAAAAAGAAAAAAAAGAAAGAAAAACATCATACTTAACCTTTAACTCCCCTTAAATTAAGTCATATAAACAAATCTCTACAACAGTTACTATAAAATTTACTCATAAAGTAAATGAAACTTTATAGTCCCATATTTTTTCTGAATATAATCTATCCACCTTCTCCATACAATAATATATCTTTCTTGTGTATGATCCTTCAAATAAGCAGAAATTTTTGCCATTTCTGCAAAGTTAGAAACTTTAAATATCCATTCTTCTAAAGTAGGCAACAAATCCTTCTTCCAATATGAGCCTACTAGTAACCTTGCTGCAATTAATAAATTCAACATTAAAGTGGTTTCTTTGTCATTTAAATCCACAAAGATTCCCCAGATGAGTATTTTATAGTTTAACCTATAATAATACTTTTTCCAAACTCGAAGTAAGGCACTCCTCAAAATATGTGATTTGAAAGCCCGGTCCACTTTCTTATTAAAAATTAAATATGCATGCCAACCATACATTAAATTCCACCCTTCAAGAGCAAGAATATCCTTATTTGTTAAATTAAGCCAATCACTTATCCAACTTAAGGCGGCTGCATCATAATATAATTTCAAGTTAGATGCTTTAAGTCCTCCTCTTTCTCGGGCATCTTGCAAAATCTTAACTTAACCCTTGGTTTTTTCCCAGCCCAAATGAATTTATTAATACCCTTCTGGCATTCCTCCAAATTTACATCTTTTTTTAAAATAGGTATCATCTGAAACAAGAAAAGAAACTTTGGTAGAAAATTGATTTTTACAGCTGAAATTCTCCCCAACAGTGACAATTGCAGTTTTTTCCAGTCATTTAAATCCTTTTGCACTTTTGCCCATAATAATTCATAATTATTTTTATACAATTTTCAATTTGAGGCAGTTAAATATACTCCCAGATATTTAACCTTTTTCACCATCTGAAAACCTGTGGCTTTAACCAAACTTTCCTTGTCATTGGCTGACATATTCTTAGATAATATCTTAGTGTTATGGTTATTGACTTTAAAACCAGAAACTTTTCCATACTGTGTTATAAGTTCTAATAGACAATCAACCGCTCTAATCGGTTGTTCCAAAATCAAAACCAAATCATCTGCAAAAGCCCGTAATTTATACTCATTTTTTCTTATCTTTATGCCCTTGATTACCGTTGATTCTCGAATCTGGATCAACAAAATCTCCAATGTTAAAACAAATAACAATGGAGATAATGGACATCCTTGTCTTGTCCCTTTTTCAATATTAAAAGTCTCAGTCAATCCCCCATTAACAACAATTTGAGCAGATTGTTGCTGATATATAGCTTTAAGTGCATGTAAAAAATTATCCCCAAAATTCATTTTCTCTACCAGTGAAAATAAGAATTGCCAATCTAATTGATCAAAGGCTTTTTCAGCATCCAAAAATATAAAAGCCACAGGAATCTGATTGTTCTTATCCAAATACTCAATTAAGTTAATAATTTGTCTGACATTATATTTCATGTATCGCCCTGTTATGAATCCTGATTGATCACTGTGAATCAAATCCTTTATAACCTGCATTAATCTATTTGCCAAAATTTTAGTAAAAATCTTGTAATCTACATTTAATAATGATATCGGCCTATAATTCTTAGGCTCTGTAAGATCTTGATCCTCCTTCAGAATCAATAAACGCTCTTTTCCAAGAAGGAGGAACTTGTGCTCCCAGCAAGATACTATTAAAAAGCTCCTTTAATGACTCCAACGTTTCTTCATATAAATTTTTATAATACGTCAACGTCAATCCATCTGTTCCTGGAGACTTTCCCACCTTTAACTGCTTGATAGCTAAGCCAATTTCCTCCACAGTAATTAAACAATTCATCCCATTTTGCTGTTCCTCAGAAAGTTTAGGAAAATGTACTGATTGTAAATATTTGTCTATATCCATTCCCTTTATATTATTACTTGAGTTTAGTTTTGTGTAAAAATCTAAAAAACTCTTTTTAATCAAATTTTGCTGAAAAACCTCAGTACCTTTATATTTTACTTTCTCTATAATCCTAGCCTTCTGTTTCTTTCATAACTGATAAGCCAACCACCTCCCAGGCTTATTCGCATTACAAAAAGTATTATGTCTCATATAACGCAAATTGGTAGCCACCTGATCTGCCATCAACATATTAAATTGTTCCCTAAGCATCTTTATAGAAACCTTTAAGTTATTATCAGTTGGGTTAAGAGCAAGCGCTTCTTTTATTTTAATCTCATCTTCTATTGCTCTACATCTTTGTATCCTTTTATCCCTAGAAACTTTATTTAAATGAATTAAAATTCCCCTCATATATGCCTTACTGGCATCCCAGACCATGGGCATCGATGTACCCTTATTCATATTTAAAGCAAAAAACTCCTTTAAATACTCTTTACATTTTTGTACAAACTCTCCCGGGTAAACAAATTCTCATTCAGTCTCCAAGGCCTTCTGTTCCCATCTTCCAAGTATAGCTCCATCCACACAGGACTATGGTCTGATAGGGTCCTGGGAAAGATTTTTACCTTTCTCATCCTAGAAAGAAAATCACTAGTAATCAAAAAGAAGTCAATCCTTGAAAATGACTGATGTATATCCAAATAAAAGGTAAAATCTCTATCACTTGTGTTCCTTTCTCACCAAATGTCAATAAGTTCCAACTCTTCTTTCAAATCAAAAAAAGTTTTGGGTAATTTAGTTTGAGTGAAATTTTTTGAAGAGCTCTTTTTATCTATAGTTATATCCCAAACTCCCTTCCAGTCACCCATCAAAATTACAGATTTATAATCCAGCTGGGATATCTTCCCATACAAAAGCTTATAGAATTGCTTCTGTTGTTGATTAGGGGCATATAATCCAACAATAAGAACTTTCTTGCCTTGTAACAATAGTTCCACAAAGACATATCTTCCTTCAAGATCAACCTCAATTAATTTAGCCAATAAATTTTTCTTCACATAAATTACAACATCCCCTTTTTTCCCTGGAGCTGGAGCTATAAAATGTGATCCCAAACGAGAATTTGTCAGATATTTTGAGTCCTTTGAAGTTATATGAGTCTCTTGCAAACATACCAAGTCATTATTATGTTGTTTCAAATAGTGGAAGATCTTTCTCTGTTTCTGAGGTGAATTTAAGCCATTAACATTCCAGGTCAGGAACTTGGCCATCTACACTGGCCTGAAGCCTTTGAAGCATAGCCTGAAGATCAACTGTCGAAGATCTTTTAGGTCTTGCCCCTCCCACAGGCTCTGTAGTAACCATTCCTTCTACTTTATCACCACTCTTCTGCTGCTGCTCTTTTTCTTTACGTTTATGGGTAGCTCGTGTCATCCTTTGATCTTTTATCTCAAGATTCTGTACAGGCAACACCACTTGTTCCATGACCATCAATGAGGAAGCTCCTGCCATAACAGGCTCTTCAATTATCCTTGTTTGTGGAGGTGAAGACGGTCTTGCCTTTAGAATAGAGTGATAAAAATCTCTTGCCTTTGAAACTGTAGTTAATCTGTAATGTATTCCATCATAATTCACTACTATTCCTCTTGGAATCTCCCATCTGAACTGGATTTGACGACGTTTTAACTCATCAGACAGAAAAGTAAAATCTTTTCTACCTCTTAAAATTTTTATTCATCTTAATATTCCGAATGGTATGCCTTAAGCATGGGGAAAAATTTATTCAGCTGTTTAAATCGTTACTTTTATGTTTGCAGGGTTGAGGCATTAAATGGAGACACATGGTGAACAAACAAGCTTCCTTTATTGATCTCTTCTTACAATCAGCAAAAGCAAAATGACACGCAGGCCTTTTATAGCATCCTAAACCCGGACAGTGTCAGCCAATGAAAACTGGCTGTTTTTCGCGCCTCGCGCATGTGCGCAAGGCTGACGACAGCCAGTCTAGTCCTGGGCAGCTTTCAGTCTGCCCAGGACCATTTGCAACATTTATTGATCTCTTGATCTCCAAAATCTCTCTCACAGTTAGTGCTATTGAGCCAGGGGCCTCTACTCTGCCTGATCGCAAGTGTGGCTCGTCCTACAATGTTACCACAATAATTTTAAACCAATGTTGACTTTGAGCCTCATTTCTTCCCCAATAATAGATGAGCATTATTGACATACAAAGCTTATGCTGAACATGGGCCCCACATAAGAGCACAAATCAAGTTTTCCTTCACCATCAATATGACAAAACTGCCTACTCATCTTGATGGATTGTGTGCACATTTTCCCTTTCTCCAACTTCTTGTGTAAGTCGGTGTTGCTCTACTCTGTGTGGGATTTGATTGTCTCCCCTTCCACCTCCTCAGCAGAATTCTTCAAACTCATCCTCCAAGGTAGGCATACTCCAGGAACTATAAATGCCTCACATAAATGCCTTCGCTACACACAGTCGACTCACACTGTCATCATGATGTCTGCTAGAATCCTTGTCCTGTGCCTCCTCTCTTCAGTCATCTCAACAGGTAAGTCACACAAGGGTAAATTTGGGAGGGAAGAGAAGTCTGGAAGAATTTTGACTAAATTATCGTTAAGGATATCTCCAAAATAGGGGAAGAACTTCAAATGTAGGTTCTTTCAAGCAATTTCTATACTTTGAATTATTACTAAAAGAATGGTTGTAAGTTAAGGACTACCTGTATCTCATTACACATCTAGAACATTGCTAGAAGTACAGTATCACTAATTAAAAATTGCATTCATTCCTCCCTCCCTCCCTTTCTTTCTTTCTTTCTTTCTCTTTCTTTCTTTCTCTTTCTTTTTCTTCCTTTCTTCCTTCCTCCCTCCCTCCCTTCCTCCCTTCCTTCTTTTTCTTTATCTTTTTTCTTCTTTCTTCATTATTTCTTTTTCTTCTTAACTTCCTTCCTTCCTTCCTTCCTTCCTTCCTTCCTTCCCTTCCTTCCTTCTTTGTCTTTTTCTATCCGCAGCAGCATCTTTGAAATGCCAGACCTGTTTTGCCTGTGGGGATGAATGCAGAAATGAGGACATGCAGTTGGTGGAATGTGGAGCAGATGAAAAATATTGCCTTACACTTTCCTTTCGCACCACTATGGGTGAGTAAAATGCAATTTCAGTATTAATGATGGCTGCTATTTTCATCCTTTGGTCCCCAGAGCATCAAGGAATAACTTATAGGCCTTGGTGGGAATCACAACAGATCTTTCATCATACCTGGCCTGTTTCCTAGGTCTTGTGGCCACCAATCCAGGAACAGAACGATATCTCTTATTTTTATCATACTTCACCTCATTCACCTCAAAACATTGTTAATATCTCCATTATTTCCATTTCAATCTCAGCATACCTGGAGGGAGCAACCCAACATTTATGTCTTCCTATCCTCAACTTAAATATTCTCAACTGGTTAGAATTGATCCTCAGATGCATCTGACTTTAAACCTTTAAATTGGAAGCCTTGATGTTTTTATTTCACTGTTATCTGCCACAATGGGGTTTTGCTTTTTTCTGATTAAATTTTGCAGGCCTTCCTCCACTCTCCTTTACTGTCAAGTCATGTGCAAGAGCTGAGCAATGTTCTAATGCTTATTACGGCTTCACGTCAGTGGCTGGAAAATACCAGCAGAAGAGAATAGCATGTTGTGAGAACGATGGCTGTAATACTGCACCTCTTCCCAGTAAGTAACCTGAGATTAAAATGTCCATTCTAACAGCCAGCAAACTGTCCATTTGAAAGAGTAGATTCTCCTTGCTTTCAGCACCTTGTATGTTTGGTGGTGGAGGGATCAAGTAGCATGAAAATCCTTAGAAAGAAGTTGTAGCGAAAAGGAAGACAACATTTTTGGAGGCATCAGTGGAATGATCTGGTTCCTTCTGACAGAAATCAGAAGGTACAAGAGGGGAGGAGATTAAAATTTTATTATGCATTATTTCTAAAGACTCCACTATGTGCTTGAAGTTCATTAAGAAATGGTGCATTCCAGATTTCACACTGAACTCCAGTGGGAACACAAGGTGATTAGCTATTTGGAGAAAACAAATCTTTTCCTGACTGAGAATTTTAAGAACCATAGTCAAAATGCTTAGAGGGCATTTAGTTGGGCAATAAATATTTCAGAAAGGATTGTGGCTGTTAAACTATTTGCTAATTCAGAAGCTTTCTTTCTGCAGTTCCAGGGCGTGACATCCTTAAACCCAACGGGTTTGTCTGCCCAGGCTCTTACGAAGAAAATGGCATTTCTGAAGAAAGTGGACCCGTTCTCTGTCTCGGGGATGAGGATCAATGTTATAATTCGAAATTCAGTATGCGTGCACGTAAGCAACTCTTTCTTTCTCAATTTGGGAAGAAACATTCTAGAGACAAATAAAATTAGCATACGGGAAATGAAACAGAAACATAAACAAAGTAAAACCAATGGGAAATCATTCCTTGGGAGAATATTTCATTCATTGGCAACATTCAGTTCTTTTGTTTTAAGTGCATAGGAGAAGAAAACAGATTTAATCTGGATTAAAACAGATTTTAGTAATTTGGAGATAGTTATAATAATAATAAAGTTGGAAGTGATCTTGGAGGTCATCTAGTCCAACCCCCTGCTCAGGAAAGAAACCTTATACCATTTCAGACAACTGGCTCTCCAGTCTCTCAGTTGACAGATTGGTAGTAGGACATGCCTCAGGGGAGAGACTGCCTAAGATTATGGAGTACCAAACAAAGACCTCATCTGCTATTTATTTACCTCACAAGAAAGGGAATGCTCAACAGGCCGTGTCTAGATGACCAGACAGATACAGTACAAACTTTTGTTAATGTATCTTGATGCTACACCATTACAAGTGAATAGAAAACTAAGAAATGTTTCCTAAATCCTTTATTCTCGCCCTTTCCAGTGTCAGCATACTTTTCAACGATCAATGGCCAGGGATGTACAACCAAGAATACATGTTCCTACCCACTAGGAAAGAAGGAAAAAGCAAATGGATTACTCATTTTTGACATTGAAAGCGTAGAATGCCAGAATCCTCAGGCACTGGAAGGATGGAGCGGCCTTTCAAAAACATTTGGTTGGAGTTGGAATTAAGGGCTTAATTCAAAGAGCAATAAGAATTTGGGATGAAAGACACTCAAGTTTGAGATTAAAGTTTAAAATTTGAGTTAGTGGGTGGTGATGGGAATTAATAACTACACTTCGATATTCTAGCTCACTATGAAGTTCTTTCTTAACTGTCATGAAGCTGTAATCAAAATAAACTAGAATGCAAATAATCGAGTCTTGTGTAGTTCATTCAAGTGATTAAACAAGCGGCAGGAGATATTTATATTAATAGCTTTTTATCTCATCTCTATTATTTTTATAAATATATAATACTTCTTTCTCCACCTTTTTTCATCAAGACCACTACCATATGTGAGGTGGGTTGGACTGGAGAGAGAGCCTGGCCCAAAGTTACCCAGTTGGCTTTCATCCTTAAGGCAGGACTAGAACTCACAATCTCCTGGTTTCTAGGGTGAAAGTTGTCCCTCATAGCATCCATTCTTAGGTATTCATATCAATAATCTCAAGGAACTTTCCTTTGAAAGACCTCCTTTAGTTCACACTTGGGAGTCAAGAGGGGGATAAAGCAATTTTACCCTAGATAATCTGGTATGCTTATTGAGATAATTTATAGAGCTTCCATTCTCTTAATGTCTCTGGATGCTTTACCAACATTAAATTAAAAATCTGTTGGAGGTAGTAATTTGTGTAATGCAAGAACTAGTAAAGCAATTAAGTTAAAGCAAGTCAAAGAGTGGGTGTCATTGGAAATAAGCTTGGAATGGTCCAGGGGTTCCATCACTACCATCCTGAGATCACAAGCTTTTCTAGAACTGTGTCTCTCAACCTCAGCAATTCAACATGTGAAAACCTCAACTCCCAGAATTCCCCAGCTAGACTTTAATTCTGGGAGTTGGTACACAATGTTAAAGTTGCTGAGAACATGATCTACAGAGGAATGTAAAAAATCAGAATAACAGAATAACAGAGTTGGAAGGCACCTTGGAGATCTTCTAGTCTAACCCGCTGTTCAAGCAGGAGACCCAGTGGTGGGATTCAAATATGTGGAAAACTGGTTTTCTCTGTTGATACCACTTCCGGAAGTTCATTCTGGGCGTGGGCAACAAAAAGCTAGCTACCGGTTCTGCCAAACTGGTGCGAACTGGCTGAATCTTACCACTGGATGTTCCACTGTCTTAATAGCACTAGGTGCTTCATACAAAAATGAAGGTATTAAACCCATCTTTAAAAAACCTGCTAACTTTTAAATGTGTAAACATTTAGCAGTTTGGTCCTTCTTTGGTTTAGTTGGAAAGTGACACTTCTCTAATCCAGTTGGTCCCGGAAGTTAAGAAAATGGATTTACAAGGGGAATCCTTGTCTCCAGTTGAATGAATTATAAGGACTTTGCAGCAGCCAAGGGCTTGAAACAATTAAATAAGTAGGGAGATCTATTGAATTGACCCCAAAGTTTAGTCTGCCTATGCTCTGGGCACTGAAATTCCAGCACCATCCTCCATTTCCATCCTCCATTTAGCACCTCTGGGAGTTGGCATAAATGTGATCAAAAAAGAAATGTTAAGGACTTAAAGTAGATATTTTCAACCTGGATGGTTAGCAATGTCAGCATTGACTCAGCCCATAGATTGGGATGCTAGAGAGAAAGACCTTGAGGAAATTCTTCTTTCATAACACCTTCTCAGTGTTTCAGAAACAATCACATGTCCTTTCTCCTAAAATGTTACCGCCGTGATCTTAGCCAAATGGTGGTTTTGAACCTGCTTTCTTGCCCCCTTAATAGATTGGCCTTGCTGACTTACAAACCTCTGCTAAAGGTGGGGCAAACACCATGAACTGGAAGAGCTTAAATCAAGTTTTCCTTCAACCTCAATGTGACAAACTGTCTTACACATCTTGAGGGATTCTGTACAGATTTCCCTTTCCCCAACTTCTTGTGTAAGTTGACGTTCTTTTACTCTGTGTGGGATTTGATTGTCATCACCAACTCCCTTTTCACCTCCTCAACAGAATTCTTCAAACACATCTACCAAGGTATGCTTTATATACAAGGTATAATTACAAATGTCCCAGACTGGCTTCAGAAAGCACTGTCAATTCACACTAGCATCATAATGTCTACTAGTATCTTTGTCCCGTCCCTCCTCTCCTCAATCATATCAACAGGTAAGTAACCAATGGTCAATATGGGGGCAAAGAGAAATTTGGCAAAAAAATTTGTTGTGAAGGATTCCTCCAAAATAGAGAGAAGATTTCAATCCAGGTCTCGCTCAAGGAATCTCTCTTCAACATGGTATTATTTTCTTCCAAAACTACAAGTGTTCAGTTTTAATGAGGACACATTGAGCCAACTTCTTTAAAATACAGGTTTCCATGGGATTAGAAGAGGAGACTGGGAGGAGAATTTGAAGAATTATTGACCTGACTAATTTTTTTGCCATGGTTTGTTTGCCACATACCTTATCTAAATTCAGTGCTAATATTATCTTTGCAACAGATTCCAATCTCTGTTCCCCTCTCCAAAAGCATCACTATCCAGAACAATTGTTAAAATACATTCCTAGGAAAAATATCTCAGGATGAATCTTAAACATTGTTAGACTGGGTCAACTATAACATAATGGATTGGAAATTTCCTTCCTTCCTTCCTTCCTTCCTTCCTTCCTTCCTTCCTTCCTTCCTTCCTTCCTCTTCTCTTTTCTTCTCTTCTCTTCTCCTCTCCTCTCCTCTTCTCTTCTCTTCTCCTCTTCTCTTCTTTTTTTTCTTTCTCTTATTCTATTTGCAGTGGCACCTTTAAAATGCCAGACCTGTTTTGACAGTGAAGAACGCAGAAATGAAGACATGAAGTTGGTGGAATGTGAAGAGGATGAAGGACATTGTCTTACAATTTCTTTTAGCAACACTAAGAGTGAGTGAAATCTACTTTCAGTTTTAATGATGGTTGCCATTTTCACCCCTTGGTCCCCAAAGCATCAAGGGGCGATTTTTAGGTGTTGGTGTGAGATACAGTACAGATGTTTCACCACACTTGGGCTCTTTCCTAAATCTTGTTGACAGTTCAGGATCAGAACGACATCTGTTAATCTCATCATAGTGCAAGTCACTCACCTCAAAAAGAACAGAACATTCCCTTCCTCCCAGGTGAAGTCAAAGATGCTACAATGCTCTCCAATCACTCTTCTCCATTTCATTTGAGCCTATCTGGAGGAAGAAGCTGGAGAAAACTTTAGTGTAACTTTTTGAATTGTTTTTCCACAAAGATTTGATACTTATCTCTCCTTGTTACCCATTCCTTTTTTTCTCTGATTGTATTTTGCAGTCTTTCCTTCAATCAGCTTTACTTTCAAGGGGTGTGCAAGAACTGAGCAATGTTCTCAAGATTATTAGAGCACCACATCAATAGATGAAAGATTCCTCCAGATGAATGTGGCATGTTGTGAAAGTGATGGCTGTAACACAGCACCTTTGCCTTGTAAGTACCTTGAGGTTAAAGCATTCATTCAAATAACTTGCAGTCTGGAATGTCTATGGAGATTCTCAGTCATCCAGATCATAGTTGTCCCAAAGATGTTTTTCATGAGTCAACTGGAGTCTGGAAAGATGAAGTTCTCATCTCTTTGAGGGTCCAGTGGATTTGATGGTAGAGGGACCAACGGAGCATGACATTTCTTAAAAAGAAGCTGTAGCTAAAAAAAAGAATCACAAGAATTATACTCTCAAAATATCTAGAGGACACTAAGTTGTGATATAAATACTAAGAAAAGATATTGCTTGGAAACCATTTGAGGTTAACTATGAGACTTTCGTTCTGTAGTGCCCAGGCGTGACGACCTTAGACTCAATGGGTACCTCTGCCCAGGCTTTTATCAACAAAATGGAGTTTCCTATGAAGGATATGGACCCATCCTCTGTCTTGGTGATGAGAACCAATGTATCAATCTGAACTTCCACATAAATGTATATGAACCACTCATTCTTTCTAAATTTCTTTGGGCATATTTTAGAAAGACAGAATGAAGCATATCTTGTGTCTTTGGCTGTGTTCAGTGAAAAAGAAAGTCCATGAAAGAAGAAAATAATGTAACCAGAAAAAGTTGCTGAACTAAAATAGATTTTAATAATTCCTGGAAAGTTAAGAGACTAGGGGCAGGATATGCCTAGGGGAGAGAGTATTCCACAGATTATGGCCTGTATTTCCCCCCCCTCCCCATGTATCTCCCAAGGAAGGGGAGTACTAAACACACCTGTCTAGATAACAGGACAGATGTGAATGTGGTTGGATGTATCTCCATGCTACACCAATTAGGGTGGGGAAAAAAGAAGGAGGTTTTCCTAAATTCCTTAAATATGAACCAGCCGTGTGCTGCAGCTGCCAAAAAAGCCAACAGAGTCCTAGGCTGAATTAACAGAGGGATAGAATCAAGATCACTTTATAATACCTTGGTAAGACATTATACCACTTTATAATGCCTTGGTAAGACCAAAGGGATATTGGTTGAAAGGCAAGAGGGAGAATTTAGTTTTGGACCCTAACTGGGGCAGGGAGAGAGAGGGAAGATCAGCAAATCAGTTAGCTACAAAATAGAGCTGGAAGAGACCTTGGAGGTCCTCTAGTCCAACCCCCTGCTCAAGCAAGAGACCCTACACCATTTCAGAGAAGTGGTTGTTCAGTCTCTTTGGAAAATCCTCCAGTGTTGAAGCATTCAGAACTTCTGGAAGCAAGTTGTTCCACTGATTGATTGTTCCAACTCTGTTCTTCTGTTATTCTATTCATTTATTCTTTTTTATTTATTTATTTTATTAACAAAATTTTATTAAATTTATATAGGTAAGGAAAAATAGGAAAAATGCAGATATGGTAAAGGGAAGGGTAAAAAGGAAAGGGGGAGGGGAAGGAAATAAGGGATTAGGATAAAATAAGGATAGGTACAATCATATATTTCAACAAACAAGCAACCATCCAGTTCATAATAATGAGTAAGTATCATATTCAACCATTTTAACAAAGCTTAAACTGTAACATATTAAAAATAATTAGTAAACAAATATGTTGATCTATTAAGTGAACACTACTAATAAAATCACAAAAAAAAAATAAAATAAGTAAAATAAAATAAAAAAATAAATCCTAACAATCAAAAGTAACAAATGAAAATCA